CATAAATTAAATTTCATAAAGATCAAATTCATAAGTAAATTTAAAAATTCAAAATCATAAATTCAATATCAAATTTATAAATTAAATTTCATAAATTTGTTAATATTAACAAACATATAAATAAAAATATAACAAATGTGTAATTTTTAATATACCTACACAAATTTGAACGCCATATTGTCATAATTGAATTACACATTTTTACATTTAACTGTAAACTATACAAAAATTCATTTACAAATGAAATAACAGTAATTTTTAATAAATCAATTCTAAACGTAATATATAACTTTTTACTTAACCTAAAAACTGATAATTATAAAATTTAATGTAATGAGAAAAAACCTATTGTTTTCGTTTCATTTATCGTTCAATCTTAATCTTAATTGGTCGTTCGTTATTGACGAAATACATTGCTGACAACTTGAAACTGACGTAAGTATTTCCAAGGATTTTTCTATGGTTCTACTCAATAACATATTATCGTCAATTTTACATGTACGATAAGGAATGTAAAGGTTGAACAAATTACATTTGTTTTTGTTATATGGAAATTATGAAAGAAAGAAAGAAAAAAAGAGAGAGACCCATGAATATTAACTCGACTGGTAAGTAAAGAAATCTACCTTTCCAACTGTACCACTAATCAATAAATTATTAAACAATCAATTTCTTATAAATAATATTCATTTTCAAAAATATTCTTTTGTAACATGTAAATTTCATAATTTAAAGGTAACAAATATTTTCAGTTATTCCAATGATATTTATAATATTATGAAACGTTTAATAACATTTGTACACTTACTTTATATTAAAACAAATAAATGTTTAAGAAAAAAAAAGAGTAATATATATATATATATATATAAAATTAATATGATTTCAATTTACAATTTAAGTGGTGCTGGCATTTCATTGGTTGCACCTCTCAAAACAGCTAAAATATTTTCAGCAGTAATTTTAGCCATTTCTTCTCTAGTTTCAATAGTAGCACTTCCAATGTGAGGTAAAACCACTGTAGAATAAAGAAATAATATTTCAAATATTAACAAAAAAGATGTATTGTCATGCAAGTGAATAATGCATACCACAGTTAGTTAATTTTAAAAGTTCACTATCCAATGGAAGTGGTTCAGGTGTTGTGACATCCAAACCGGCAGCTTTAATCGTACCATTTTTTAAAGCTTCTATTAAAGATTGTTGATTAACAACTTCTCCACGACTAGCATTGATAAATATAGCAGATCTTTTCATTTTTTCAAACGTTTTGGTATTAAATAATTCTTTGGTGTCTGATGTTAATGCTATGGTTACTATAACAAAGTCACTTTCTGATAACAATTTATCCAATTGAACTTTCTCTCCATTAAACTTAGTAGCTTCTTGTTTGACGGTTCTACTGGTATACAAAATTTGAGATACACCAAAAGGTTTTAAACATTCAGCAACTTTACATCCAATACGACCAAGTCCAACGATACCAACAGTAGAATTAGCTAATCCTGTACCACACATCCATGTTGGTGCCCATGCCTTCCATTCACCGCTATAAAAATGTCTTTATTGTATAAACCTTTTTATTACATTAATGAATTCTTCCATTGAGGTATGCTACCTATGGACAGCTTTATTTGCTTCCAATAATCTTCTTGATGTTGTCAAAAGCAATCCTACAATTAATTCCGCTGTAGCATTGGTCAATATGTTTGGTGTGTATCCAACTTGAATGTTTCTATTTTTTAAAGCTTTCAAATCTAAATGATCTGTGCCAACAGACATCGTAGCAACTACTTGCAATTGTTTTCCAGCTGCATTTAATATTTCTTCATCTATTTTATCAGTTAGTGTACAAAATATTGCAGATACTCCTGGCACCTTTGACAATAATTCTGAACGTGGAATTGGTGTTTGTTTGTTCCATGAAACAACGTCACATCTTAACAATTTCAAAATATATTAACGTAATAATATAATGCGTTTATTTATTAAAAATATAAAATTTAAATACTCACTGTTCTTGTAAAAGATTTAATCCTTTACCAGGTATATCAGGTCGTGTAATCAAAACTTTTGGTTTATTCGCCATACTCATTAATGTTGTATGTAAAAATCTTGAATGTATTTTATTTATTTCTAGAAAAATAATCTATTAAGATTTCAAATGTAATAGATTAATATATATATATATATATATATAAAAGAATTTTGATTACACCACAGAGATTAATATTCGTTTGTCATTTGATTTGGAAACCGTGTACAAACATAACCTATATTTTTAAATTTCTGAAATTATTATATTTAAATGATTATATTTAAAAAATGTAACACACATTTTTTTATGTCAACTTACTTTTTGATAAATTTTGAAAAATAATATGATTAAAATACATATTCTTTATGATAACACTACACATTCACATAAATTTTTATCACTTGATATTATTTATAGAATAAAAATACATAAAACACGCATTACCGGTGTGTTTTACACATGCACTACATATGTGACATATGTATCGTACGCATATGTTCGATATTACGATCGATATTAATCAATTGATGCGCAGTAGACTCACGCGCATCCATCTTCTATATTTCAACCAATGAGATGATTGTAATTTTAATTTGGATTTTTGATTGGTTCATTCTTTTCGTGATAACTTAGCGTGGCAAATGAAACGAATTTCAAATTAATCTTTCGATTTTCTTTCAATTTTGTAATTATGTACTTCTAAATTTTTCGTCTCGTTAAATACAATAATTATTTTAATTATATCAGACAATAATTTATTTAAAAATATGTACGAAAATAGAAAATCTGAACAAGTAGACGAAAAAGTATCGTCAAAAGGAAATCATGGACAAAATGCTAAGGTTAAGATTATTGTAAAAAATGATAAAAAAAAGAAATCTGTTAAATTAAAGAAAGAAGAAGAATCGATATTTATTTTAAGCTTGGATCCATACGAAAAACCATTAAAATGGTGGGAAAGTGAACCCATAAAATACGCGTAAGTTTGTTCTTTCAACAGGTTTTGTTTTTAAAAAAGCTATCGAATATAATTTAATAAATTTAAATTTAAATTTTCAATGATTACAGTATCAATTACAAATATGTAAAATTACGTATAGAAAAATTAATGGGAAGTAATGTAGTACGTTTAACAGATCGAAAATATATGATGAGTTTTATGGAAAATATTCGAAATAATTATAGAAACGAACAATTGGCACGAATTGAAAAAAGAAAGGAATGGGTTAAAAATACGTTTGTATCATTCATTGCTAACGATAATAATACAGTTTGAAAAAATATATATATATATATATATGTGTGTTCTAACCATGTGTCGAGCATATATGGGTTGTCATGTCAACCGAATGTAACAACACGTGAATTATTCCATTGTGAATTCTCGTCACGTGCGGATCGATCAATAACAATACAGAAAAAGAATATAATTTAAAATAATTTGAAAAAAAAAAAAATACAGTAAACAAAAATAAGAAAATAAAATGAGCGAGAATATTAAATTTATCGTAGGAGAAGTTAACAAATTGTTGGACAAAAATTACAATTTGGTTGGTTTCAGTGCTTTGAATCCTGAAGATTTATTACAGGTAATTAATTAATATATATAATATATATTTTTATTAATATTTTTATTAATAATTTAATAATAATAATTATTATTATTTAATTTTTAATATTTAATTTATTTTACTTTTATTTCATTTTAATTTAAAATATATTTATATAATATATTTTATAATACTGTATAATACTGTATATAATACTGTACTATAGTTTATTAATATTTATACACACACACACACAAATAATTAAAAAAAATTTTTTTTAAGATATTAAGTGACGTGTTAATTAAAATACAACAACAAGATGCAACAAAGATCGATATTAAAACCGAAACACCTGAACAAAGTTCCGTACGAATACTTTCGGCACTTCGTATATTAAAATATCAACCAAATTCGGATCCAACGACATTTCGGTAATCAAATTATATTTTTAATTTAACAATTTGCGATAAAACACGTTTTAATAACATTTTTAATATAACGACTATCATTTGAGTTAATTTTTGTTGTTTTTTTTTTGTTTTTTTTTCAAAATTAAGACAAGGAATTGTTCGTGGTGATTCGGAAACAATTTATGCAATTTTAACGTGGTTATTAAAACACAAGGATATCGTAAGACAACGAGCGTATTTGTCACGTTTTCTTGTTAAGGTAAATTTAAATTATTTAATTATTAAACAATTAATCATTTAACATTTGGCATGCGGGCAACGTATTTTTACGTTTTTCTCAGTCTGTCACTGGAGCGCTGGTCACGTACAAATACGTATTAGTAGATTTGTGATGGATAACGGGTAACGTATAATTACAAATACAGCGAAGTGGATAAATTACTTAACTATATATATATATGATGAATTGTGCATTTTTCAATGTATGTGTAGTATATAATTCGACAAAGACACAAAAGATAATGTAGAAGAAATTTTTGATCGAACTTCCGCGCGATTCACAGAAAAATGCCCGCTGCACGTGTACCTTGACGGTGAATTATACCCGCATTCCATGTGTTAATATACATAAAAGTTTATTTTTTTTTTTTAATTATTCATTACGAATTTGTTGATTTATGTTAGATCGAAATTCCATCGGATTATTTGGGAGATCCAGAAATTTCAGCATTGTACGAACAATATTCGAATATGGTGAATCAATTTAAAACCGTTCACAAGGAAAGAGAAATTGGTAAAAAGGTAAATATCAAAATTGAAGTTAAAATTTACAGAAATGTTGGTTGTAAATTTTGTTTCTCGTTTAAAAAAAAAAAAAAAAAAAAAATAATAATAATTTTTATTCGTCATTTTAGAATTTTGAAATTGCAGCCGAATTTACGGAAGATCTGAAAGCTATGGAAAAAGAAAAAGAGGTATAAAAATTGTGTATAAATGAAAAAAATATTCGTGAAATTAATCTCTTCATTGATTGTTCAACAGATTATTTATAAATATTTTTGTACATTTTTTTTTTTTTTTTTAGGCAGTTTTATTACGAATCGAAAAGATGAAAGTGAAAGCACAACTGGGATTTTATCTTTTGGATGTAGCAAGAACTTTGCGTATGGAAAAAGATCGTGAACGTGACCTTGCTTTGCAAAAAGAACAAGAAAGCAAGATAATGTCTAGTTTACAAGTATATAATTTACAATTTTTTATTAATATATATTTAGTTTAGAATATGTTGTTGATATAATTATTATTGGAAAACTGTTTCAAATTTTAATTAACAATTTCAATAATATTTTCAATACTAGTATTCAATACTAGTATTTAGTTTCCAAAATATTATTGACATATTTATTTATAATACATCAATAATATAATTTATATATATATATATATATATATGTATATGTATATATCTAATATATAATACATTACTGATATATTTAGTTTTGGGAAACTGTTTCAAATTTTAATTAACAATTTCAATAATATTGTCAATACTAGTATTCAATACTAGTATTTAGTTTCCAAAATATTATTGACATATTTATTTATAATACATCAATAATATAATTTATATATATATATGTATATATTTAATATATAATACATTATTGATATATTTAGTTTTGGGAAACTGTTTCAAATTTTAATTAACAATTTCAATAATATTTTCAATACTAGTATTAAATACTAGTATTTAGTTTCCAAAATATTATTAACATATTTATTTATAATACATCAATAATATAATTAATATATACATGTATATATCTAATATATAATACATTACTGATATATTTAGTTTTGGGAAACTGTTTCAAATTTAAAAGAACAATTTCAATAATATTTTCAATACTAGTACTCAATATTATTATTTAGTATAAAAGTAAAACTAAATTAATTAAAATTAAAGTAAACTAAATACTAGTAACTAGTTTAGTTAGTATATTATTGATATATATATTTATAATATATCAATAATATATTGTTATATAAATATATATTAATTATATATAATTATTGATATATTTATTTGGGAAATTGTTTCAAATTTTAAATAACAGTTTGAACAATATTTTCAATACTAGTATTTAATTTCAAATATATTATTGATATATATATATATTTAAATACATCAATAATATAATTAATATATATATATCTCATTTACAATATGTTATTGATATATTAATTATTGGAAAACTTTATACAAATTATAATTAACAATTTAAATAATATTTGTAATACTAGTATTTAGTTCACAATACACTACTAATATATTTATTAATATATTTATTAATTTAATTTTGGAAAACTGTACTTAATGTAATATTTATTTTTGGATAACTTTATCAAAATTTTTATTAACAACTTAAATAATATTATCAAAATACTAGTATTTAGTTTACAATATATTGTTGATATATATATTTATAATGCATCAATAATATTATAAATTATATTATCTAGTTTACAAGTATATTATTAATATATTTATTTTTTGAAAATTGCATCAAAATTTTAATCAATAATTTAATTTAATATTTTTTCAATACTAGTATTCAGTTTACAGTATATTATTACAATTATTGTAAATATTACATTAATTGTATAATATTATTATATATACAATATAATATTATTACAATTATTGTGAAACTTTTCCACATTCACATGAAATACATTGACATTCACAATGAAAATGTGAATATAAAATATTAATTAATACTTTAAATAATATTTTGTTCACTAGAACATGATTCAAGTAACACACTAACTATAGATAAATATAATCTATAAATTAACATAATCTTAATACGCTCAATGTCTCTGATTGATCTAATTTGCATATTTAGATATCCTTTCAAGGAATAGAACGTGAGTTGCAAACATTAAAACGTACCGGTGAGGAAATAACACCTCAAACATTAATACAACATCTAACGGATGAGGTGACTGTACAAACTGCCATAATGAAAGAAAAACTAACATATGAAATTGAGATGAAGAAAAAACGTATTGCTGCACTATCATCAATCAAAGGTTATTCTTATTTAGGACAGGAACAAATTATTATGCTAAGAAACAAATTGGATTTAATAACTAAAGAAATTCAAGGTTTAGTTGAAACCAAAGTAAAATAATATTTCTATTATTATTATTATTATTATTATTATTATTTTATATTACATTCAAGAGATCAAAATATAATCAAACAATGTTTTATTAATTTAATTTCAATTTAATTGTTATAGATAACAAAAACTGATAATGATAAAATGGAACCATTTCGTCAACAAGCAACAACAATATCAAACATGAAACGAAATGTATTAGAAAAATTAGAAAATACCAATGAACGTTTGAAAGATTTGTTGACTAAACTTGAAGAGAAGAGAGAACAATCTAAAATGTTTATGGACGAAGTTGTACCAAAGGGTGAAGATTTGAAAAAGTATGTTGCACATTTGAAAATCAAAAGTATATCTTACAAACGTTACAGAGCTGAATTAACAGCATTGAAAGCTGAAATTGGTGTATTGCAACGAACTGCTGTTATTCTTAAAGCACAGGTATGAATTGAATAATTAATTAAAAGAATTATTACATTTAATGTTTTGTTTGTTATCAATAAATTACCCTAGTAGCACAAAATATTGAAAAATATTCAATACAAGATTGAATATAAGACATTGAAAATCTCTTTTGATATTAAATTACATATGTATTGAATATTTTTCAATATTTTGTGCTCTCTACTAGTGTATATTCTTATTATTTTATTATATAATATATTATATAAATATATTATTATATATATTTATATATTTTAATATTTTAATAATATTATACTATATTATATCAAATATATTATTCATTTTATTATAGTATAATATAAATTATATAATATATAATTATATAAAAAAAATATTTATATATATCATACTATAATGTATGATATTAACTAATATGATATAATATTACACAAATATAATAATATATAATATAAATATATGATATTAAATGTATATTTAATATTATGTATTTACTATATATATTATATTATATTAAATGTATTATTTTAATTTTATTATACTATAATATAAATATATTAATATAATATAATATTTTTAATATTATATTTATTTCATTTTAGTATTATATCTCACATTATAATTTTATATGTCATATTAATATATATTATTAATTTTGATATTACACACACAATTTATATTATTATTAATATTATATTATAATTTATGTTATATTTTATTATATTAAATATATTATTAATTTTAAATTATTGTTAACATTATATTATATTTTATTATATTAAGTATATTATTATTTTTATATTACAATTTTATATTATATTATAATTCATGTTATATTTTATTATATTAAATATATTATTAATATTATATTATATATTAAAAATATTATATTATAATTTATATTATGTTATATTATATTTAAAAAAAAAAATTGAATGATACAAAATAATAGAATATTTATATTTTAGGCAGCATCAATAGATGAAGGTAATAAAAATGTAGATTTAGGAAAACAATCAATTCCTGACAATTATACACAAGCTAATGCATTTTCCACAAACGTGCAATTGTTCAAAATGATATCAGCCCTACGTACTAAACTTGCACCATTATTAAATGGTACGTATATATTTTACAAAATTTCATAAAAAATACAATTTCCAAAATATATTTCTATTAATAATTATTATATATATTGTTCTAGATTGTGTTGAATATACTATAGTATTCTATATATATATTTAATATAATTGAATATATATATAATTAATAATTGTTTATGTATATATTATATGTATTCTACATGTATTCTATATATATATATTAATTAATAATTATTATATATTATTGTATATTGTTGTATATTGTATTGAATATTCTATAGTATTCTATATATTCTATATACTCTATATATATATT